ATGTGTGCGTGTTTCTGTGTTTGTAAATGCTCGACTGAAACGGCCGGACAGGTGGCACATACACATGTGTGATTCTTGTCTTACTAATAATATTTTGCTCATGCTTTCTTTTTTCTCTCTCTTCCCGCTTCATTTGGTGGCCTACCAAGCTACTTTCATTCTGACCCCGTTTTCTGATTCGGAACAATTGATTGCGTTCAGCACTTTATAGATGAGGGTATTTATTCTGCCCCTGCCAGTCGCACATTCTGTTTGTGTTTCTCCCTTCGCCGCAGTTATTGCGCTTGTATTTTTCTCCCCTTTCATTGCCTTCCTGTTCTCCCTAACCTCACCACACACACGCCAACACCGTCGCTGTATGTTCTCCCCACCCCTTGACCTGGTCAAATTTGCTGTCCTCTTTCATGTGACAACTGTACTGAATGTCTTCTACGCTGGAATACATTTTTAGTATGAGGTTGTAAAGATAAGCATCCCGAAATATTGAACACCGTGTTTAATGGCTATATGTCGCAGACTACTTCAAATTTGGGGGAGGGACTGTACGCCACCAGATCAGGAATGTGTTGGTGTTGGTAGCGGTCATATTTGTGGCGCGCTGCAGTCGCTTTTAAACGAGTTTCTTGGTGAGTAATTACACGGTTAGGCGACCCAATATCACACCTAGTCTGTTAGGGTCATTATAAATCCCGTGGATCAGATTATGGGTTGCGATAACCAAACGAATCAGTTTCATTAACTATGTGATTCACTTTTACTACCATTTATCATTTACACAATGAAAAAAACTGGACTGCTTCATTCCATGGATGGTCGTGGACGGTTGACGACGATCTCATAGGACATGGAAAACGACCTGTTGACAACAACAAGAGGGAACAAATTTTCCCGTATGACATGATTTGAGCAAACCTGATTTTTCTCTTCCCTCCTGAACTAATGGCCATCCTTATTTCTACGTCACTTCACATGTACGTTTTGTAGCCATCCTCCGGATTAGAGCCACGTGCCTAAACTATGAACTCTATTGGTTTTACAAATGCTATTCTATCCGACCCACATCGTCAAGATTCTTCATAGATTTAGTATCTATGAAGCTCAGTTGTTCTCACGAGTAGTTGGTCGCTAAAAATTCGAAGCCGAAAATTGTCTGCAGTTAGATATTTTCTGTGCAGCATAGTCCTGTCCTCGTGCGAGGATATCGGCTCTCAAATGGTAGATTGTCTGATCTGCAGTATGCAGATGACATTGTGGCACTAAGTGAAGCTTCGGGGAAGTTACAAACTTTCCTGGATTGTTTGTGTGCCAGTGTAGCCAAGTTCATCAGTATGCGTTTCGCACCCCAAAGGTGTAGAATGTAGCTAAAGGACTGGGTTGGTCCACTTCCCAACATTACTCTAACTGAGGAAATATTAGATGAAGTAGACAAATTTTACTGTCTCGTATCCCGTGGACGCACCGCGGATGAAGGGTTTGCAGGCATACAGAAGGCTGCATTGGTATTTGCCAACTTTAGACATTTGTGGCGCCGTTGCGACATTCGGCTGTTGATCAATGGTTGAGTGTATGCTGCAGCAGTTCGACCGATTCGGTTTTACAATATAGAATTGGTCATTACGAAAATAGGATAAAGATACTGTCGTGTTTGAACTCCGCTGTCTAGGTCACATTACACAAATCTGGTGCGGGGGCTACCGGACAAGTAATGCTGAGATTAGGCGTAAAATTTTAGGTGATCGCAGTCCCTCATAAGGGCATGTGCTCCATGGATTACGCTGGTTGATGTGTTTGGCAGATCACCAAATAGGTTGCTTTAGCACGTGGTGTTGGGTGGAAAATATCCAAGAGTGATCAAAATCAGATCTGAAATCCATATCACCGAGGTGGGCAATTTGTTTGCAAACGTTTCATCACCAGCCGCGGTGACATAATCAGTGCTTGTGTGCCAAACAAACCATGGTGCAATAATCTTTATAAAAAGAAAGTGTTCCATGATTCGCATGTGGGTGGAATATTTCAGGTTGCCCAGGCCAAGGCAGGTAAATTTTCGTGAGGATTCCACAACCGGAGCTTTCGGCTAGCCAAAGCCTGACCTGAAAGGCAGCGGTGCATTGTGCGAAAACTGCAATTCATTTGGGGTCGGTGTCCAGTGTATCGGATCATACACCCTTTGGACGGTGTCCAATGTCCAAGGCGCCCAATACACCTCGATACCCAATTGAGCCAGTGACCACCGCCACTACCGGGAATGTATGTGTGGTTCTTACCCCTCCTCACGTTTAGTTTGTAATCAGGGTTTTTGGCCAACTCCTCTTGGTGAACTACTTGTAGTCCACCAATCTGGATATAGCCCCAGATGTCGGAAAAGCACCTACGTCACGAGAAGACAATGAGTAGAACTTCCTCAGAAGCAGAAGCTATTTGAGACGGTTGGTCGTATGGGAACAATTTGCGAAGAGCAATGGAAAGGTGACCAGCCGCAACCCCCGACCATATTGAAACTTTTGGAGGCCTGAACTGTTTGAGTTGTGCAACAGACATTCCTTGTTGATGACGTATTCTTATGGACTGTATTTTTATGGACAGCTGGAACTGATTGTTTCGCAAATATTAAAAATAAAGTGGAACCGAGTTGAGTATGGTTGTTCAACGTTTAACGGTCACTGCAATATTGTGTGTGCGTTGAGAGGGGTTGACGGACCGGCTTGTACAGTTATTAGTCCTACGTTTATTGATTGGTTCCAATTGACCATCCTTCAGACTTCATTTTCACGCACATTCCTCAGCCCTTCTAGTCATCCATACAGTCGGAAGTACTAGACTCAAGTTTCGCTCTTATTTGAGCTCATCGGCAGTGCATATCCACCGTCCTGTCCAGGATTTGAACTCCGGACCCATCACATGGAAGGCGTGTGTGTTACCTTTGTGCCAACCAGTTTTTACCATAGCTGAGCCAAATTACCGATTCATGTTTGTTCAGGTGTCATCTTCAGTGATAGTTAGTTTATTTGGCCCGACAGCAACGAANACCTCTAATAAGAGTGAAACTCGAGTCTAATGCTTCCGAATGTATGATTGAATGGATGAACTGAGGATTGTGCGTGACGGTGAAGTCCGAAGGATAGTTAGTTCAGATCAATCAATATCAGTTATCGCACACTACTGATCACAAGTAACTGTGAGTTAAATGCGAATTACGTTTATTGATCATCATATTTCCAAATACTTCTTTTCAAACATCCAACTTAAACGATCGGGTAGACTCAATCTACGTACTGATGCTACATTGAGCGAAAATCCCTAACACAGAGTCCCATATCTGACAGAATTCGTGTAGTCGTTGTGGTCTGTAGACTTTCTTTTCACCTCAATCACAGATG